GTTGTGGGACATCAGTCCAGTCTGACATGGAGCACCTAGCTGTTCCTGGTCTGGTGGATCACGAATCTGGCACTGGAGAAGTGGAAGTCCTTCCTTCCTGGCTTTTGGAAGTTCCCCACACAGGATGATAGCTAGTCAGGCTTGGGAGAAGTCCCGGGTATTCTGTCGGTGCAGGAAACTTGGATGCTGAAGGATGCCATCTGATCTGGATGTCGTCTGACAACACCATGGTCGTGGCATAGGTAAACCATCATGGAGGAACCAGAAACCCATGGCATGGGAGATAGGGTAGCTGCTGTCCTGGCCATAGCTTCACATCCCACTTATTCAGCCAACAATATCTGTATCCAGTGGAGTTGTCCCTACAACTGGAGGTGTTCTAGCAGTTATGTCACGGTGGGGGACACTAGATGTGGACCTCCTTATCTCCAGGTTCAGCCCATAAACTGGTTTAGTTTGTCTCCAGGTCCAGGGAGATATTAACAGAGACAGTAGATAATACACCCTGATCCACACCTGTCTTCTTGTGGAACTCCTTCCTGGTTTATCAAGATTGAGATAGGAGGCATTGATTTTCATAGCTCTGGATTGGCCAAGACTCCTGGTAGAGTGATGAGAGCTTTTCCAGACAGTCGATCTTTTCTCTCAAGGAATGATTTGTCATCTTGCTTCATGTTCACTGACTTTACTGGCATGGCTGTTGAAGCCCAGGTTCTGAGGGAAAGGGGAATCTCTGAATCAGTCATTCCCATGATATGTAAAGCAAGAAGCTTGTACAGTCTATCACAGTATGTGGAAAGGTATACTTAGCACGGTACGAGGTTTCACCTCAGGAAATGCTCTGGAATGAATCCTTCCTTTACAGCCAGGGCTGGACTAGCATTCTGTGACTCCATGAGACCTAGATTTGGTTCTTTTAATATTTCAAAAATCTCCCTATGAAGCTATCAGGGATGCTTCTCTCTCCACTTATCCATAAAGTGTTTCTCATAGCAATCACTTAAAGCAAGTGCCTGAGCTGGTGGCCTTAACTTGGAAAGAACCCTTTCTCGTCTTGCACTAAGACGAGGTGGTAAAGTCCGCCACATCTTTCCTAGACAAGACAATGCCAACCTTTCACCTCAACCAGGATATTATTCTTTCGTCTCTGTCCAGCTCATCAGATTTGTCTTCATTGTTTGGATGTACTGTAGTTGGGGCTGTGAGAGTTAAGCTTTCAGCCACTGTGCTTCCTTCAGAAAAGCTGATGCATTCTGGATAGTCCCCATAAAGGTGAACTGGCACCTCATTCTACCATTTCTCAGTGCCTCAGACTGTTATTCATGACTTATAGTCACAAGGAAAGGAGGGGCTCCGGCTTAAGGATATTGGCTTTCAGATTTGCTAGGCTGACACCTGGTCTTCTGTTAACACATTTTCCAAGTTACAACAGGTGGACTGTTAAGCCTCATCTGATCCAGTGACATGCCAGTTTTGGGCATAAGGTACATCAGGCAGCTCAATGAGCGCAGGCAGGCCCCAGTTTTTGTTTGTCTGTTTGTAGTTTGCTTTGGGACATTCCAACAGTTAATTACTTCCAATGTCACTCAATGAATGAGAAGTATTTTTACTCACCATATCTGTGTTATGAAGATGCTCTTAGTACCGCGTAACAAACTGAGGCATGCTGATAGTAAAAAAGGCTAGCCTGGGCTGGCCTACAATTAATTTTTTTCAGCAGTGGCCGAAGCTTCTGTATGTCTTCAACAGTTAATGACTTCGCATCCCTCAATGAAATCCAAGAAAATAATTTTACAAGTATAAAAATAGTATTTGTACTTACTATAAAATACTTTCCTTGAAATCCACAAAGGGACTGCATACTGGCAGGTTATAATGCCACCTGCAGGTGGTTTTTACACTAGGAAAAATCTGTAAGCCAGGCCAGAATAACCTCTGCCCTGGGGTTTAAGTGTTTGGGTTTTTTTTTTTTTTTTTTTTTACACTAGAATTTTGTCACATGGGGACCAAACGTCTCTTATGCAATACAATGCATTGTGGCAGGTTCTGGTCATCAAGCCACCAGACAGGGTTGGATCACTTTCATATGACAGCTTGTCAAATTTACACACATTCCCAGCTCTCAAAAGGGAACAGATCCAGCACATGCTTTGGGAGTCCAGGACTCTTAGAATTGCTTATGCAGAAATAGTGGGTTATAGTGGAAAGCTCTTTGCAACCATATAGACCCCAATGACCCAAGACACAAGAAAGCAGCCCAATTCTCCATATGCAAAGTAGTCAACATCAATAAGTGCCAAAATGGTCTCTAATACGGTAATGGCAGAAAACTGCAGTGTTTCAAAAACAGAAGATGACTGTAGGGACTCAAATGGTCACAGCGACCAGTGGGCCTGGGCACTTCTAGGACCATATGGTGATTAGATTCTGCAAGGCAAAGTGTGGGAGCACACTTAGAGACTCTGCGGGCAGTATCTGTAAGGAATTGGGTGTATTTGGCCACACAGTCTTGTATGACTGCAGTAGAGGCCTCGGACAACAAGGCAGAGGACTTGGCATCCAACAGAGCAAAGGGGGACTTAAATGACGTAGACTCAGTAACTACAGCATTTCCAGATTTCTGATGTCAGTGCCTTCTTAGGGTACAGAATACATACGCTCCACCACTAAGTTTGTACTGGGGTCACCAGTTGTCTAGAAATACCTATTTCAACTGCATGGTAGTAATATGCAACTAACCACAACGTATGAAGCAAAGCCTCATCAACTAACAAATCCAAGCAACTGGTAGCTAGTGAGCTGATGAGGGTCTGAAGGCTGGACGTGACCAAGGTCACTGTAACCGGGTAGTAGCAATGGAGCATAGTTCCATGCGTCTTATTTGCAATGCAGAAACACCAGTGGGTGATACTTCCTCTATAGTGAAAGGCAGGAAAGAGCGCACAGCATGCTCAACACTCCTTCCAGTAGTGGATGTCAGTCACTCGGCATTAACCCTTTCCACAGCAAAACTGTGCCCAGTGGTGCAAACAAAAAATTTGCTCCTGTTAACAGCCCAATTGGCCTACTTAGAAGTGGGTCTTCAGAGACAGGGCAAGCACTGAGGCAATGCCACCAGCTCTGAACCTGAAAAAGCACTTAATAGTACTGGGTTTGAAAAGCGGCAAGTAGGAACCAGTGCCCAAAGGTCACTGCCAGGCTAAGCCCACAACACCCAGTAGGGTCTGAGCATGGCACTCCATTGTAAGGCTGAAGGAAGATCCAGATAGCAGCTATATAGAGACCAGTTAAAGTAGCTGTGTAGGAGTCTCGACTGAAGATTAAAAAAAAAAAAAAAAGGTTACTTTTCCCAGCAGAGCTATCGTCCATCCTCTTAGGGCTGTTGCTCCCAACCTCATCCCTTAAGTATCCTCAACAGGCCAAGTTTTCAGGATTTCCTCACTTACAGAGGTTCAATCACTTTTAATGACCTAGTAATAATGACCGCAAATTTATCTAAAGAGAAATTCCCAAAACATGGCTTCTTGGGGGCTTTGAGCACTGAGGTTGCGAATCACTGTCCTAGGACACTAGCAATAAATTGAGGAGTGTCGGGTAGAGGAGGGGGTTGTCCTAGACTGGCTTACAGATTTTTGGTTTTCACATCCAATCCTCCTGCAGGTGGCGGTGTAACCCAGACAGTATATGACTTCTTGCATACCTTAAACAGATGGGAAAGAAAATCTTCCTGTAGATTCTTCAGTGGCCAGCCCTATATTGCCTTTCTGTGCACCACAATATGCGCCTGGCAGGGACTGGTTTCGCTTGTAAATTTTGAAATAGGCTACATAAAGAAATTGTAGAATACTCAAGAACAGAAAAAACAAAACAAAAACTTGTGTTCTAGCACAGCCATTCTGTCTACAAGTGAAACTCCTAATAACTGTTCAAACGACAGTCTACAGTAGACTGAACAGATATCAATGGAAAGGGGTTAGTGCGGAGCTTCCAAACCCTTCAGTGAATCGATCTTAATGAAGACATAAGAGATGAGAGAGAGAAAGTAGTCTACCTTTCTGACAGTTGAGTTACAATGTAAAGTAAAATCTAATTAGGCAACCTCTTTGGTTCTTGCTTATGAAAGATGTATAAAACAGTAGCTGTTCAGGCAGATAATGCTCAGATCCAGCGAATCATACTCCATGAAACTAACAAGACAGTGGTTGGGAGCCACAGGTATTGAACTTAGGTGCATAAACTATGGATCAGGATCCTATATATGTTCCACAATTAGTTTCACTGTTACCAATAGAAACTGATTTTATCGCTTAAGAAAAATGGAAAAACATGAACAGGGGTCCCAGAAATTTCCCATACTGATGCCAAGGTACACCGATATAAAAAAGTTTAGCGGGTACAAAGGATCTATAAAAGAAAAAACAACAAAAAAAAAAAAACAAAAACACACAGACTGATTCCAACTGTGCATCATAATTCTTATTATACAATATATTACACAGGATAATGGACTAAACCACTACAAAGATATAAAACTAATGCAGAATTTTATTTTCTGATATTTCACTTCATTTATAATAAAAAAAAAAAAAATTAAAAGGAACACAAAGAAAAAAAAAAAAACCATTGGGTAGATGCCACATGTGGCAAAGGATAAAACAGTAACCTTTTCCCTGGCACGCTGACAGGCAGAAGGATACATAAGGGTACTCATTGCACAAAATGTTCAGAAACGTCCAATGGTGGGCCAAAGAATCTGTGGTTTAGCTCCAGACAGTGTTGAGTTAAAATTACAGAATTCAGAGTAGTTCAGAGAAAAGGGAGGTCCAGAGGATGGGAGTCTCAAAAGGAGAAGCCAGCAGAATTCCTTTAGAAGGAAACTAGCTCTTTGCCGGAGTTCTATTTTTTCCATATATGGTTCTTTTATGAAGGGCTGAGTTATGAGTCTAACAATAAGTGGGCTTGACATGTACATAGCAGCAGAATGGCCAGCAGAAGGAAGGTCAGCGTCGCCCTCCCCTATCTCTAACTGGTGTACTCCTGCTGCGACTTCTACTATGTCTTTTAGGATCCCTACGTTCTCTTTCACGAGGGTGCTCCCGGCTGTGCTCTCTCCTTTTCTCTCTCTCTGCCTCTCGTGCTCGTTCCCTGTTTCTTTCTGCTTCTTTCTCCCTCTCTTTAGCCCGCTCTTTTCTCTCTTCTTCCTCTTGCTCTTCAAGTTCTTTTCTCCTTTTCTCTCTTTCCTTTGCTCTTTCAGCCCTGTCTGCAACCTTTTTCAAAGCCTGTGGAAACAAGAAAATGTAAGGCTCTACACAATACAGTACTGCCCTCTTAAAACAGATAGTTTGCAAGTGACTAAAAAATTAATGAGATCATTTGACACAAAGCAAACCTCAGGCAGTCTACTTGATCTACAAAAAAAGTTTTTGATATACCTGGTCATCTGTGAGGGGTAGCCAATATATACATGGGGCAGCTTTGGTTTTGTGGAATAAGTCATCTAGGAGTTTTGCTGGAGGTTCTTCCTGCACTTTCTCTGCAATGAGGGGGAAAAAAAAAATTGTGAATGAGTTAAAAGTCTGTCAGCTACCTAGTGGAGTGCCATAACAGGAAATTCCATGGCCATTCACATTTCCTACTTTACATTCTGGTGTCAGTCAGTGAGGATACCATTCATCACACTGGAGCGCCAACAATGAAGCATGAAAGGGGCTGTACCAGGCTCAACCACAATAGGTGATCTAACTTTGCATTTAAAGCTGAAGATACACAAGAGATATCACCCTTCCAGTGGGTCCCCTCTGCACTGCAATGGTTAAAGTCAAATTAAAACCTCATACTAGCCTAGTCTTAAAAATGCTCCCCCCCCCCCCCCCCGCGCTTCTGCTACCTAACCTGCATAAAAAGGTGTGAATGCTTATTTTTAGTCTGCTCCTATCATGTGTTCCGCAGGCTTAGCTCTTGTGTATCAGTGGGGAGGCGAGGGAGCTGGGGCTTGGGAGCCTATAAGTGATGTCATGGCTCTCGGAATTCGCAGCTGTTGTCGAGCACTCCTTCCTCTCTCCTACAGCAGCTCATTAACCGCTTCCCCTCCGCCCTATAGCAGAAATACTGCTACAGGGTGGCAGGGGTGTGCAAAATCACGTATATATACACACACACACGTGATTTTGCATTTCCTGGTAGGGGGCGCGCACGAGCCGCGCGGGCCCTACCTGCGCCGCCATTAGAGGCCTCAGCTGTCAGTCACCGGGTCTCAGCCAGTGATTACTCTCTGGCACCCAATGATCACCAACGGGGGGAGACCTGTGTATAAACAACACAGATCTCTCCCGTCAGCTCCTGCACACTGCTTTGTATGGCTCTACATAGCAGAGCCATACAAAAAAAAACAGTGCGCTTACAGTGAAGCACACACACAGCCCAAGTAGTAAAACCGCACAGTTAACTCTTTGATCAGCCCCACATGTTAACCCCTTCCTGCCTAGTGCCATTTGTACAGTGCCAGTGCTTTTTATGATCACTGTATTGGTGTCACTGGAAATGTCAGTGACACCAAGTCTGTTCCCCCCCCCCCCCCCAGTGTCAGAATACCCGCCGCAATCCTGCTATAAGTCACTGATTGCCGCTATTAGTGGTAAAAGAAAAAAAAAATTCCAGTATATATACCGCCATTTGTGAATGCTTCAACTGTCACAATCCAATTAATTTACCGTATTTGCCGGCGTATAAGACGACTGGGCGTATAAGACGACCCCCCTACTTTTCCTGCTAAAATTTAGTGTTTGAGCTATACTCGCCGTATAAGACTACCCCTCTTCCAATGCACACCAGTGGCAGGAATAGTGCCCCATCATTGGTATCAGTGGCAGGAATAGTGCCCCATCATTGGTATCAGTGGCAGGAATAGTGCCCCATCATTGGCATTAGTGGCAGGAATAGTGCCCCATCATTGGTGTCAGTGGGAGGAATAGTGCCCCATCATTAGTATCAGTGGGGGAATAGTGCCCCATCATTGGTATCAGTGGCAGGAATAGTGCCCCATCATTAGTATCAGTGGGGGGAATAGTGTCCCATCATTGGTGTCAGTGGGAGGAATGGTGTCCCATCATTGGTGTCAGTGGGGGGGGGGGGGGGGAATAGTGCCCATCATCAGTTGATGTCATCATTGGGGGGGGAGGAATAGTGCCCCATCGGTGTCAGTGGGAGGAATAGTGCCCCATCGGTGTCAGTGGGAGGAATAGTGCCCCATCGGTGTCAGTGGGAGGAATAGTGCCCCATCGTGGTGTCAGTGGGGGGAGGAATAGTGCCCCATCGGTGTCAGTGGGAGGAATAGTGCCCCATCGGTGTCAGTGGGAGGAATAGTGCCCCATCGGTGTCAGTGGGAGGAATAGTGCCCCATCGGTGTCAGTGGGAGGAATAGTGCCCCATCGGTGTCAGTGGGAGGAATAGTGCCCCATCGGTGTCAGTGGGAGGAATAGTGCCCCATCGGTGTCAGTGGGAGGAATAGTGCCCCATCGTTGGTGTCAGTGGGAGGAATAGTGCTCCATCATTGGTATCAGTGACACCAATGATGGGGCACTATTCCTTCCACTGACACTTGCTGACCCTGTTCTCGTATGGTGCTGCTGCAGCCAGCATATGTGGTTGCAGCAGCACCTCTACACTGACCACTTACCTGCTGGTCCTGCACTCGATTTTCGCGGGGCCGCTCGGCTCCACCCCCTCGCCGGTGATTGGCCGCCTGTGTGCCTTTCCTGAGCTACAGTTCTGGCGGCCAATCACTGGTGAGGAGGCGGAGCCGAGCAGCCGCACGAACATCCAGTGGCCGAACTGAAGGCGCAGCTGCGCTTCCTGGACCGGATCGTCGTGGGACCGGAACCAGGTAAGAAACAGCCGCTGCCCACCCCTGTACTTAGTGTCCCTTCCATTGGGGGAAGGGGGCGGCAACGCGCCGCCCCCCTAAAAAGTGTTAGTATGCCGTATACCGGCGTATAGACGACCCCCGACTTTTGAGAAGATTTTCAAGGGGTAAAAAGTCGTCTTATACGCCGGCAAATACGGTAGGTGTATTGGGATTTTTTTTTTTTTTTAGCAAAGACATGTAAGCAGAATACATTTTGGCCTAAATTTCTGAAGAAATTTGATTTTTAAAATTTAAAAATGTAAATTTCATTAGGGTGCAGCATTGCATGACCGCCCAATTGTCAGTTAAAATAACACAGCACTGTAACGCAAAAAATGGCCTGGTCAGGAAGGAGGGTAAATCCTGTGGAGGGCAAGTGGTTAACAAAGGGGCAGACTGGAAATAGGAAATTAAACACGTTCTTTCTAGTCAGTATAGGTAGCAGGAGCGCAGAGGAAACATTTGGTTCTGGATTTGGAAAGATGTCACAATGAGACTAAGTACTTTAGAGAAGAGAATATGGTATACCAGCCGCACAGCAAGGTTGAAGCCTGCTGGAGCAAGGAATAAGGCAAGTATTACCACTTTTTCTTCTACCCCTAGATTTACCAAGCATTTAACCCTTGCAGGACCTGGTGGTAGAGGTTCCACTTCAAGAGTATTTTTTTTGTCTGGCACCTGAATGAGGCACCAGGAAGTATATGCAACAGCATTTCACATCAGGTACTTAACATAAATCTATCAATGTGTGGTTCTAAAACTATGTAAAGGTTATAATTAAGCATGCAGCTGGGACAACTGACCTGTAAATGACTGTACTGCATATGCAGCATTTGCCTTGTGACGCTGCACAGTGATTGAGCTTTAGTATTTCACTTTTTGGCCAAGTTTACCAGCCAGTCAGGCCTGACAGCTGAAAATTCATTTCATCAATTAAGAGAAACTGAGATACTGCAGTCTAACAATACAGTTACTACAGGGAGAAACCATATGTAATAAGAGTAATAGGAATATGGTGCAGTAAGCATGCAAAGCAGAAAGTTACAGAAATCCTTAAGTTAAATTATAATAAAATACTACACACTGAAAAACACACCAGATTCCATAAAGTACAACAAAGTCAAAGAGAATTTAAAGAAAGCTTGCATGAGGATCAAACTTCAACATACCTTTTTTCTCATTTTTTCTTTTCTTTGGACTTGGCATGCTCTTTACGCCGCCTGTCTCTGGAGCGTGATCTGGGCCCTTCCCGCACTTTATCTCTGTCCCATTCTCTTTCAGAACGAGTGCGTTCCCTCCTCTCCATCTCGCGTTCTCTTTCTGCCCACTGTTCTCGGACTCCCCGCTCATGCTCCCTGTGCTCACCTCGTAATGGAGGAATGTGGGAATGGGAATGAGAATGTGGATGGGGGGGCTCCTCTTGCTTGGGTTCTTGGGGACGTTCTACAAGAAGTCCTCTGTGGAAGTCCAGCTAAAGACAGACAAAAGACAACCAAATTAAAAGGAAACCCATCAAGAGAGAATTACTTGCTACTATTGTTGACCTCCTAAAAAGGTTACTTGCCTGCTATGTGCATCCTTTGGCTTCAAGCATATGAACGACAACCAATATGCAGCAAATCAGGTAAGAAAATTATACCACATGAACCCCTGACCTACCGCAAAACCACCACACAGGTACAACCAGACAACACTAGAGCTTTTCTGCATCATAAAATGAACGGAAAGAGTCACTGGGTGCGGGCTTCAAGTGTATGACCAACCCCGACTACACCGCAGCCCTAGAGGACCTCCTATGAACTGTAACTGCAAGGGGCCAAAGGACTTATATGCCATGTGGCCAGTAGAACTCTGCTATGGTGAAGAATGTTCATTATGAATACAAAATGAAACAACCAAGATGTCAATCTGATGCAGAAGGGAGTAAATGTAGAGTCCCAGTGTGGATGAGTGACCAGTCCAATGCAGTGAGTCACAGTGTGCAGGAGTGTAGACTCACTGTCTGCTAGGTGCTGTGTGGCATATATGTGCTCTGATGGTCAAGAGTGGATAGATCAGCTGTGATAACAGCCCTTTGTAGGCATATGCTAGAAGCAAAGGGAGGGCGGGGTCTTTGGTCACACATCTCTGATGCATTGCATTTTTTATTTTTATACTTTAAAATACGTATTTTTTTATATGAGGAAATAACCTCATGGGAGTGTAGCCTATTTTCTCTTTTCACTTTTCGTTTTTGGGCAACACCCCACAAGACTTACTTAGTGGCACCTCACTATATTTGCATTACTTAGGTGGGCTCCCCAGGCCATTTCTTGTTGGTTATCAAGAAAATTACAGTATTCCTACCCCTTGAAATTTTCCACATTTTGTCATGTTACAGCCAAAAACGTAAATGTATTTTATTGGGGTTTTATGTGATAGACCAACACAAAGTAGCACATAATTGTGAAATGGAAGCATGATGATAAAATGGTTTTCAAATAAGTATCTGAAAAGTGTGGCGTGTATTTGTATTCAGCTCCCCTGAGTCTATACTTTGTAGGACCCCCTTTTGCTGTAATTACAGCGACAAAACAAAAGACAAAAGTCTTTTTGGGGATGTCTCTACCAGCTTTGCACATCTAGAGAGTGAAATTTTTGCCCATTCTTCTTTGCAAAATAACTCAAGCTCTGTCAGATTGGATGGCGAGTGTCTGTGAACAGCAATTTTCAAGTCTTGCCACTGATTCTCAATTGGATTTAGGTCTGGAATTTGGGCCATTCTAACACATGAATATGCTTTGATCTAAACCATTCCATTGTAGCTCTGGCTGTGTGTTTAGGGTTGTTGTCCTGCTGGAATGTGCAGCTCCGCCCCAGTCTCAAGTCTTTTGCAGACTAACAGGTTTTCTTCTAAGATTGTCCTGTATTTGGCTCCATCCATCTTCCCATCAACTCTGATTAGCTTCCCTGTCCCTGATGAAGAAAAGCATCCCCACAACATGATGCTGCCCACCACGTTTCACAGTGGGGATGATGAGTTCAGGGTGATGTACAGTGCTAGTTATCCATCACACAGTGCCAAAAAGTTCAATTTTGGTCTTATCTGACCAGAGCACCTTCTGCCACATTTGCAGTGTCCCCCACATGGCTTCTTGCAAACTGCAAATAGGACTTCTTATGGCTTTCTTTCAACAATGGCTTTATTCTTGCCACTCTCCCACAAAGGCCAGATTTGTAGAGTGCACAACTGATAGTTGTCCTGTGACCTGAGCTGTGGATCTCTGCAGCTCCTCCAGAGTTACTATGGGCCTCTTGGCTGCTTCTCTGATTAATGCTATCCTTGCCCGGCCTGTCAGTTTAGGTGGACGGCCATGTCTTGGTAGGTTTGCAGTTGTGCCATACTCTTTCCATTTTCAGATAATGGATTGAATAGTGCTCTGTGAGATGTTCAAAGCTTGGGATATTTTTTTTTTTATAGCCTCTGTTTTAACCTTGTCTACAACTTTATCCCTGACCTGTCTGATGTGTTCCTTGGCCTTCATGATGCGGTTTGTTCACTAATGTGCTCTAACAAATCTCTGAGGGCTTCACAGAAAAGCTGTATTTATACTGAGATTAAATTACATACAGGTAGACTATTTACGAACAGATGACTTCTGAAGGCAATTGATCCACTAGATTTTAGTTAGGGGTATCAGAGTAAAGGGGGCTGAATACAAATGCACACCGCACTTTTCACATTTGGCTGTAACATGACAAAATGTGGAAAATGTAAAGGGTATGAATACTTTTTCAAGGCATGCTTGTTCTGAGTGAGCATTTCAGAAATACTAAAGTCAGAGGATCACCATGACAGCCAGGCAACTAGAATTTTCAGGTTGTCAACAGCATTGGCAGCCCCACTTCATATGACATTTTGTTAACATGCATACTACATACCCTGAACAGTGCCTATAAAAATACATACCAGTATAGAAAGCAAAAAGTTTCTCATACTTCATGAACATAAATAGAAGTAGTAATAGCAGATTTCAAAGGTCTTACCTCATCTTGCTCTGCAAAGTCTACTGATAAGAATTTTGGATTGGACTGTGGCCACTTGACTCCGTGTAGGGAATTCCTTGTCGCAATGGCTTCATCTACTGTAGAATACTAACAAGAGACCACAAAGTAGCATTAGCAAAAAATTGTTCAAAGACAGCCACAACAGAAGTCCATTTGAAGGAAACCTGTACTGTGAGAAAAGAAGCTGCCATCTCTGATCCCTCTTTCTGAAAATGATAGCTACAATACAGATCCAAAGGCTCCAATACTTTATTCACTGATCTGAAATGAGTATGCAGATCAAGAGCTCCAACTCCCCATTTCCTTTTTGCATGCTTTCTAATGGTTAGTAACCCTATGACTAAGGCCCCCCTGTTGGGCAACTAGTTTTTTCAAAATGTGGTTAATGATCGCTTTCATATTTCGTACAGGTTTACTTTAAACCTCATTTCAATAACAACTACATTTACTGAAGACCAGTTGCATCAGCAAATAGGAATGCCAACAATGAGATGTAAAATAATATTCTCTTATTAAAATAGCCAGCAAGAACATGTTTTATTCTGAAATGTTTAGCATTAGGCTCTGTGCTCTCAAAAATTTATGAAAAGCTTGGGGAAAACCCCCCCCCCAGCAATTTAGGACTGTAATTTTACATTCATGCTTGAAGACAAAAGCTACAAACTTCAACCCGATGCACAAAAAGGGTACTTATTTGATTACTTGGAAGTAGATTCTTTACCATCTGTATTTCCTGACTTCTGAGAGTACCAAATTCCTCACAAAATTACATTTGTATATCCAACATTCATTCTACAAACTGCAATTGCAGTAGGCATGACAGGTAGTAGTAAAGTTCAGAAAAAAGCTAATTTATTAGGGAATAAAGTTATACCACTGAAGCCTGTTCAGCTTGCGTGGCTAAAATGAGCATCGCTTGTGTTACTGTAACCAATAATCACCAGTCAAAAACAGCAAACATAGGAAGTTTGACTTACCTGTAAATTCTCTATTTTAATGTACAGTACCAAACATGACTTGTATTTACAGACCATTGACTACCTCCAGGTGACAGAACACTACAAAAAAAAAAAACAAACAAACAAACAAAAAAAAAAAAAAAACAACCCACACTTGCTAGGGCTGCCCCATAGTGCGTACTCCTCACAAAGCCCTCTCCACGAGACTTAAGCACAATTTTTTTTTTTAGCCAGCAACAAGGAGTGATCAAGAGAGGAAAAAAGGGCCTGTGTCTTTTACGCCAAGATTAGGAAATTGCAAGCAAGTCTAAATTCCTATTATATTAACTGTACAGCACAGAACTTTGTATTCATAGACCATTGAATGTACTCAAGTAAAACAGGCGTGGGCAAGAACATGGCAAACAGAACTGCCAGCAGGCCCACTAACACACAAGAGTTAAAGGACCCTTGTGTTAGTGGTAAAAGCTTAAAAGCACTTTGTGGACGAAGCTTGCACCAGCCGAGGTCCAAATAACTACCTGGTGTTAAAGGACCAGTTGGCAACCTTGAAAATCTGCTAAGCAGAGGCTTCATCCTGAAGAGCCTAAAGACAAAACCAACAGCCTTGGTGGAATCGGCACCAAATGAGGAACTTTACCTTTCAGGGTGTAGGCCCTGGAGATTAGTTGCCTGATCACCTAGCAATGGTGAAGTGGGAAGCAGGATGCCCATTACAAAGGCCCACAGGCAGAAAAAAAAAAAAAAAAAAAAAGACTCAGTCTTGTGAACAGAGGCTGTGGCTTTCAATTAAATCCTGACAACACCCAGGCAATTGCAGGGAAATATCCTTGTGTTTTGGGGCAGGATGAAAGGGAAGGAATAAAAATGTTTTCATTAAGGTGAAAAGAGAAGACTCTTAGGTTGGCAGGGCGGTTTTGTTCTCCAAACCATTGAGCTTTTGCAAAACAAGAACGGGCTCTATACAAGAAAGGGCTGCCTACTTAAAACATCTAAAAGATGTGATGGCTAAAGGAACGTGAGGTCTCCCAATGAAATGTCTTTAAAAAGTACAGGCAAGACATCAAGATGACAGATTGAACTGGAGGTTTATATGAGCAATTTTCTGAAGAAAAGGTTTAACCACATCCTGACCACCCTATAGCAGATGTACTGCTACAGGGCGGCAGAGGGGTGCAAAATTACATATATACACGTGATTTTGTATTTGCGTGTAGGGGGCACGCGCATCCTACCCGCACCTCCATTCGCAGCAGTCAAACTTACAAACAGTGCACATCACGTCTGGAGGGTCCCGGGGAGTTACCATCACCTCTGTATGTATACAGCCTGACGGGAAGGGAATGGTGGAGCTGTGGTTTAGCTGCAGCATGGCTGAGATTCCTGGCTGGGAAGAGAACATTTTGGGTTGGGGTCTCCCCTGAATGCGGAGGTATTTACTTTTAGAGCCCATTCTGATCCAGCCATCCATCAACATCCAGAGAGGGGAGTTCCTTAATGCTGATATCCACACCCGTCCATGCCTTAAAGGGGACCTCTGGTTTAGCTGGATCCTGTATTATCCCGTGAATTACTAACAGCACCACCAGACCTAGAGGGATTATCATGTGGCAGGACATTATCCATATCCTAAAGGGGACCTCTACACATATATACAATGCGTATTTACGTTACGCATCTGGTGAGTGCGTAATTCTACCATATCTTTTTGGAGCACCATTACTTACTACCCAGATCTGCACGGAGGAACACTTTAATATTTGTCATATTTGTGGACATTGATTATTATATTTCTATAGCATTGCACCTTTTTGCTTTGATTTTCTGAAGTGCGCATCAGCGTTTGTTCCTCCTCCAAGATCAACATCAACAGGATCCTTTGACAAAGTCGGAAACGTGTCAGGACGTCAGATGTAGACCGGAAGCTGTGTGGTGGCCATCTTTGATTAGGTCTAGAGCGAGTAAACGTTGATCTTGGATGAGGAACAAACCCTGATGTGCACTGATTGCAAGCACTTTTTTACTTTCATAAACCGTATGCTTATCTGTTTCGACCTACATATTATTATCATTGGAAAAAACAGGAATAATGTTGGTCAGTAAGGTGCATGGTCTGAGGTGGTGGAGTGGTTCTATCACTATCATTTCACTAGTGGTCACAATTTGATAAAGAGTGGAGCACGGGAGGACACGATATTGAGGAATTGATAGTACTACACTATGTACCGTATTTTCCGGCGTATAAGACGACTTTTTACCCCTTGAAAATCTTCTCAAAAGTCGGGGGTCGTCTTATACGCCGGTAGCGGCATGCTGACACTTTTTAGGGGGGGGCGGCGCGGTGCCGCCGCCCCCCCCCCCCTTCCAACAGAAGGGAAACTAAGTACAGGGGTGGGCAGGGGCTGCTGTCTCTTACCTGGCTCCGGTCCCACGACGATCCGGTCCAGGAAGCGCGGCTGCTCCTTCCTTCGGTTCGTCCACTGGATGTTCGTGCGGCTGCTCGGCTCCGCCTCCTCACCGGTGATTGGCCGCCAGAACTGTAGCTCAGGAAAGGCACACAGGCGGCCAATCACCGGCGAGGAGGCGGAGCTGAGCGGCCCCGCGAAAATCGAGTGGAGATGCAGGTAAGTGTGCCGTGCTTAGGTGCTGCTGCAACCACAAATGCTGGCTGCAGCAGCACCGTACTGGAACAGGGGTCAGCAAGTGTCAGTGGGAGGAATAGTGCCCCATCGTTGGTGTCACTGATACCAATGATGGGGCATTATTCCTCCCACTGACACCAACGATGGGGCACCTTTCCTCCCCCCCACTGACACCAACGATTGGGCACTATTCCTCCCCCCCCCACTGACACCAATGATGGGGCACTATTCCTCCCACTGATACCAATGATGGGGCACTATTCCTGCCACTGATACTAATGATGGGGTGCTATTCCTTCCACTGACACCAATGATGGGCACTATTCCTGCCACCGATACCAATGATGGGGCACTATTCCTCCCACTGATACCAATGATGGGACACTATTCCTCCCACTAATACCAATGATGGGGCACTATTCCTCCCACTGACACCAATGATGGGGCACGATTCTTCCCACTGGTGTGCACTGGAAGAGGGGTAGTCTTATACGGCGAGTATAGCCCAAACACTACATTTTAACAGGAAAAGTAGGGGGTCTTATACACCCAGTCGTCTTATACGCCGGAAAATACGGTAATTAATTTTTCCCAGAGGGTACATCTCCTTTGAAAAGGACGACGGAAAGAGGAAGCTGTATACTGAAGATAATTTTCTGTGTAATGTGTTACAAGGCGATTTAGACAGAGGGTAAGAGTAAGAATTGCAGACGAATAGAAGTGAACACGTGGTGGAGTGGATATGCACAGATTTTGACACATTTTTGCGAGTGTGATTCATTTAAGAAAGTTGTGAGCGTATTAAGGATAATGCACTGTGTGTGTTTATGTGCATCTTTTTTTGTGGGTACCAAGTTGAAAATTAAGCTTTTTTGTTGTGAGAATTGCACACTGAAGGATATTGAAAAAGGAGAGTCCACATCTGGTTACAGGGGATACTCACTGTTTGGAGGCTGTGAAGGACTTTTATTTTGAACTTTCTGGGGAGAAAGTGATAACTTGGTGCCCAAGGATTGGATACTTATTGGATCGTGTATGTGTAGTGGACACCGGATGTAAAAAATGTATTAGTCCTCCTCCCTTGTCAGCTCCGGCACACTGCTCAGCCATCCAGAACAGTGTGCTTACAGTGAATAACCAACACACCCCCAGTAAAACACTCCCAGCACACAGTTAACCCTTTGATTGCCCCTCATATTAACCCATTCCTGCCCAGTGCCATCAGTACACTGTCTGTGCTTTTTTTTTTTTTTTTTTTTTAAGCACTGATCAGTGTATTGGCGGCACTGGGGATGTCAGTGACACCAAGTCAGTTCCCCCCAGTGTCAGAATGCCCACCACAGTCCCACTATAAGTCGCTGATCGCCGCCATTACTATTAAAAAAAAAAAATTTAGATAAAATTCCAGTATCTATATCGCCATTTGTAAACGCTATAACTTTCACGTAACCCAATTTACATGTATTGGGATTTTTTTTTCTAGCAAAGACGTAGCAGAATACATTTTGGTGAAAAGTTATGATGAAATTTTAGTTTGATTTTTTTTTAATAGACATGCTTAACAGCAAAAAAAGTCAAACATTGTTTTTTATTCCCTAAAAATCGTCTTTTTTAAGCCCAAAAAATAAAAACGTACAGGTGATCAAATACCACCAAAAGAAAGCTGAATTCATGGGGGAAAAAAAAGGGACATAAATTTCATTTGGGTGCAGCCCTGCATGACTGTGCAATTGTCAGTTAACGTAACAGCACCATAACCAAACAATGGCCTGGTCAGGAAGGGGGGTAAATCCTCAGGAGGGCAAATGATGAATTGGGTGTTGTGAGGCAAGACGTTTATGTAATAAAATGGACAAGGCAGAAACCTGTCCCTTAAGGGTACTCCGCTTTCTGTCCTCACACACCCAGTAAGGCCTTTCATGTGTGATAGTAAATCTTGCTGGAATCTGATCTCCTTTCTCTGAATGAAGTGGGAATAGCAGACTATGCTTTAGTACTTGACTTTCAACAGCCGTGCAGTTAAAGGATAAGTTCACCTTTTGGAACATGTTCCACCCGTTTTTTAAGGAGTTACCGATCCTGCAGCTGCTGCCCATTCCCCCCCCCCTCCCTGTGACAGCAGTACGGGAAGAAGTTCCCTGTACTAACTGTTTTGTTTTAAAAACAGCACAGCCACGTGGGGCTCCGCTCACACAGCACTGTCATTCATTCACAGAGTTCTGTGAATGAACTACAAGTTCCAACAGCCTTAGCATCTGTCAGTTTGTAGTTCTCAATGAACTACTACAGCGCTGTGGAGAACTGTGGTAGTTCACTGATTCTGTCAGTATATCTGCTTGACCAAGCATTCCATATAGTCAAGCAAACATACTGACAAATATACTGACAGGTCCACAGAAGACCTGCATGGCAACCATTTGATGATCACTGGTGCAATGCTTTATAGGCTCCTGCAAAAAAATAAAACTAAATGCACATTTCTTACCTGCAAAAAAATATGCAGTTATTTTTTGTCAAAAGGTGAACTTATCCTTTAAAGCTGGTGACAAAGAAGCAGCAAGAAATAGCTTATTGTTGAACCTGGGGAGGACAGAACGTCCACATCTGGTTCCCCCCCCCACTGCTTTGCAGAGATTTTAAAGGATCTCTAGGTGCAGAGACCACACCCTTGGACCCAGGGATTTATTGCTTAGGAAGTCTGCTTGCCATTTGTCTACTCCAGGAATGCAAATTGCAGAGAAAGCTGGAATGTGAATTTATATTGTAAAGCGCTGCACAAAATGTTGGCGCTATATAAATCCTGTATAATGAGTAATAAAACAGAGTGTACTAATGCATGGAAATATATTGATACAAACAGATAGCAAAATGGAGGATTGAGAACATCCGTACATGCATAAGACCCATGGATGCAATTAATATAAAGAGGGGTGGGAGGGATTACAAATCCTGGTGCATAATTGTGTTAAAGCACGTACGTGAAGTTCTGTATCCTACAGTGAAATTAGGATATTGTCAGGTGCCTCCTTTCAAGACCAAAGGCACACTTGGGGAAAAACAATTGCTAGCTGATCAAAAGGATTGCACAATATGCCAGACCTCTCAAACAAACAAACATGAGTATACTGAAGTGGGTCGAGGACCACAACTGATCAAGAAGTAACTGATTTTTGACAAGTGCAGCTGATACAATATACCTTTTCAATATGATATGTTACAGGAGCAAATCAGTCATAAGAACTTACCGTGACATAACAATGTGACTTTATTTTGTCTATCCAAAAGTTCTCCTCTACTAAGGTACCAGTACGAAAGAGTAGTTCTTTCAGCTGTCCCAAGGTGAAAGGACGAACCTGTAATAGGACACAACGTTGGGGTCCAACAGCCAAAAAACAGTTCTTGATGACTACCCAGCACCTAATTTGTTACTCAGATGCCCTATACTACTAGCAGTTAAATTATAACAGTGGTAAGCAAACAGTGAATCTCCAGCTGCTGTGGGAGAACATATTCTGGCATTCCTCATCAGTCAAAAAATGTAAGAAAGCCAACTGTTCTTATTGGGACAAAGATAAGGGAGACAACTGTTCTGAGACTTTGTTCCACAATTGGTTAAAAATCTGAAGTCGCCTATTACTGAACTCCTAGAACGATCACACCCTGCAGAGGACTGCAACAAAAAAATGATTATTATCTGATAGCCAAGGAGGTGTTGGAATTGCAGGAAATATAGGCCAATCCCTTACCTTCACAGATCTTGTGCAAGGAACATACACAACTACAACGACTTGAATAAATGTAGCCATTGACTGTAAGCAACTACTTCTTACATACATTCCCTATATAGTAGCACTCACGCTAAAGCTACACTGATGTCTGGATAATTTCAGTAAATATTTTGTACATCCATCTGTAGCTTTTGAAGAAGCGTTCACTTACCAGATTGCAGATGTGTACTATACAGCTAGGTTTTCTTCTTGGTGGTGATGGCTGCTGTGTGGCTGTGCGCACGGGGTCGTCAATTGTAATGGAAACACTTGTCTTCTGCTGACTGACCGATCTTCTTAGTAAGGTATCGCCTAATGTAACTATCGAGAAGTTGCATAGTCAGCAGGAAAGTTATACTTGATATTAAAGAAAAAGCCACGAATACATATTTAAATAAATCTTAACTACCTCTGACTTCTGCCTGTGCTGGGCTTTCTGGTAAAACCTTTTTTACTTCCTGTTCATTTGGAGGTGGTGCCTCTGTCTCCATAGGGATAGGTTCTTTGTCTGGAACCTCAGCAGCTTCCTCTGACCCTTTATCTTCTTCCTCCTCATCCTGGCCATTTTCTTGAACTTCTGCAGGCACCACCTGAAAATTTTAAATGAGTACAATTCAATTAGTGTTTAATGACACTGACCAGCACATTTACCTGTGTTAGGAAATGGAAACAGCATCTTTACCTGTGTAACAGTCCTGCATATTTTCAATCCTTTATCATGGGAGTTGTCATCACCATTTCGTTCACTTTCATCTTCTGAAATACGGGCATCTTCAGCATGAAGATCTACGACCGCTTCTTGCTTTATCTCTTTAATTTCAGGTATAAGACTCTAAAAAGATAGTATTAAAGTAAAAAAAGTGCAACTGCAGAAAAGTTAATCCAATCGGCAATACAGAAATGATATCCAACAAAAGCTACAACTGTGCTATAAATCAGAACGTTTCCAAAACGTACCTTTAAATCTAGAATGCCCACAGTCTCAGTAGAAGTGTACCTCCCAAAGCTGTATTGCTTCCTAACTTGTCAGTGACCAGCAATTATATTGCAAAAAGCACCATTTTTCCTTAATAGGCAAATAGCCCACAGAGGGTGCATTTGAGAATAACCCTTCTGCATCTCACATGGATTATCATACTGACGAAAATGTGACTAGGGTGGACTGGTTCATTACTGCCATGCCTGGATGAAGAACTGAGTACTAATGAACAGTTAGCTTGTACTCCCAATATGCACGGTTATTTTCAATTTTAACAGAAGCGTACCATTAGGGAAGCAATAAGAATAAATATATTCTATTGTTAAAAGAGGTCACTACTGGATAATTTAATGGAAATCCTTATTTACAGGTATATAAAAACAGTAACATTATACAGACATTACCTTTAAGGATTCAGTAGAGATACTAATTGAGGGTTTCTTTTGAGTGGTGGCTGTGCTGGCCCCCCAGCGCCTGCGTCGAGCTGGATGAGTTCCTTCATTGTCACTGCCTGTGGTAGATGCAGGCTGACCAGACCCTTTTGTAGCTGCTGAAATGGTGATAAAGTTAAGCTCTAATAATTTTAGCATACCAGCCATAATTTCACATCATGACCAGCTTATTTTTTTTTTTTATTAGTACAATACAGTACAATCACAAGTTAAATACATTACAAATGGCACATGAACATTTCAAGTTTATGATTTCTAGCCAGCAGGTAGCTTTACCAGAGGCAGCCAACTCCAGGATTTCTGGAAGAATTTACTGCTGTACTTGGAGAGCAAATTGTAATTCTTGCTAGCTGGGTACATTCAAAACAGAAGACTGAATGTTCAAAGAACAGACCAGACCCCCTTTCCCAATTTGCTAGCTACAGGTTTTCATTCAGGGAGATGCAATCAGTTTGGTCAGATGCTTGTGTGGCCAGTAATGACTTGTAAACAAACCAAGACCAGAAGCGATGAAATCTTTGTCACTTCAGTCTTCATTTGTCACAGAGGAGGGGGTACGGCTGTACCTTCTCCTCTTCTGTACTCAGCTGACCACACAAGATGCAGCAGTCACGGACTCCCCCAATCACACCGGAGAGTCCACGGACAGCTGCGTGAGTAGAGGCCACCCTTCTGTTCCCTGTAGAAGGGATCGGGTGGCTGCAGGAGTTGCTTGGATCACTTCTATAGGAAAGCCCATCCCCAGGCTGCAAGTTTTGAAACCAGGGTCATGGCTGCAGCCATGATCTTGGCATATACGTATATAAAATATGAAAAAAAAAAGAAAAAAAAGAGCGAACTCGTGCCAAACACAGTAACGCCACACAGGGGAATTTAATTTTGTTACATTAACATTGATCCTCCCCTGGCCAGAGTGTGGAAACCCAGTGCATACTATGCTGGGACCGCAGTAACCGCGGCAATGTAAGTGGGATTTACCTTGAACTTAATCTTAACAGATCCTTCCAATGGTCCCCGCTGGCTGAGCCACTGAGAGGGGATTGCTATCCCACTATACAGTGTTATTATCCACTGAAGTGGTGGACTGATCGTTATAATTGGAGACATTTCGATCAATCACAATCTGAGTGAACATCAATGGTGAGACTGTTCAAGTTTACAATTCATGTTTCCCATACAGACTTTTTCCTGAAAAATTACTTGCGACTGACTACAGTCATCCGCCAGAAGGCATGTTCCTTACTGACTGGTTTTCCTGGAATATTTATCAGTCTATTGATTCTCAGTTAGGACTATATCCCTCTGATATTATCCACAGGACAATCTTTATGAGGGTGGCAGGATTAATAGGTTTTCAGATTCCTAATTGTAGTGTTGATTTTCTTAAACCATATATATGGCTGATAATTATATAATCTTGATTACTATCAATATTGATAAATATGCATGATTTCGTTCCCTTTCAGCTTTTTATACATTAGGATCAGTTATTCCCCTATTTGCTATGTCCCTGCTCCACCTCCACAACTCCCTCACCAGGTTATATGGGATGACCTTTTGTGGTGGTGAATGTGAGCTTGGTGATATACCATCTTGGGGATTGACATCTTTATACATCTAACCCAGGCTTTCCTAGTTTTAAGTGACAACGTTGTCATATTTTAATGGTGATGGGTGGAGACTATTTAAAATTTTTGTACATGCCTGTGCATGTGTGTTATTATATGTGAATTAAAAAAGTTTTTTTTGTTAAATTTAAAACTATTTGAGTCACATGAGAGTACCGGGTTTCTCTATGGGGGCTTTCCTCCATACATTTTTTTCTAATGATCTTGATATAACCACTTCCACCTGAGGACATATGGGTATGTCCTAAGGGCGTGAAGTGGTTAAACAGAAAATAATACAAAGTGTCATATTGTCCACTTTGGGCTAGTAAAATCCTCTATGGTGCGATGAAAAAAAACACAATGCTAGCCATACATTGATTTTTTTTTTTTTTGTTAACCTGAACATTCAGCCTGTTTCAATGTATCAGGAATTATTTAAAAATTGCCATTTGTCTGCATCAATCCTGCTCAACTTTAAAAACAAAAGTTTGACAAAAGCATCCAAATACAAATGTAAATGCTTGAAGGTTGATTGTTCTATACAACCAAATTAACAGTGTGAAAATAACTTGAGCTTTCTAATCCATCCAAATCACTTCTCTTCAAGCCCAGGTTCACCTTTGGAACATATTCCACCTGTATTTAGGGAGGAACGTGCAACATGTTCCAGCACCTGCCTCCTCTCCCCCCTCCTTGTGACAGTGGGTGGAGGATCTTCTCCCCGCACTCACTGTCAGTTTAAAAACAGCATGGCCATGCAGGGATCCGCCCCCAAGGCTGCACAATTCATTGAGTTCTGTGAATGAACGAACAACTACTGTTGTCTGCAGCATTCGAGGGCTTGTAGTTCTCAATGAACTGTGAAGGCTCTGTTGAGTGCGCTCTTGTAGTTTGATTCTTCCTGCAATTCAGTAACTGCCTGCTCATATGGGGTATGGGCAGAAAGTGTACTATGTCTACAGGAGCCTGGCATTGCACCCACCTGCTGATCACGGGTGCAATGCTTTGCAAATGCACAATTTTTTAACTTGTACAAAGATGTGCAGATTTTTTTTTTTTTTATATATATATATATAAAAGGTGAATATGATATACTATTCAATTTGATCTAAATAAATGGTAGGATACTTTCAATCAAAATGGGTAGGAAGCAATCAAAATAGATTCTAGAAAAAAAATTTGCTTCTTAGACTTGTTAGTCAGGTTATTCTGCCAAATCAACATCTTTAAGAAATGTATAACATGCATGCAATCTGTACAATTCATGAACTGCCTCTGCGTGACTTAGCAGGTGAAAATAAATGAATGAAATGGGTTTTTCCATTTTTAATCTGATGCCCAAACGGTTTTTTCAAAATGAAACCATACCGAAGTGAATAATCTTACTTACAAATAACAGAAATCTTCCTCTTGAAAGTTCTTGGTGGTGTTGTGCTCTACAGAAACGGGACAAAGGGTAGAGACAGAAGGAAGGGGGTGGATGCATTATGGCATCCCAGGGAGAAAAAGCAGTTGTTAGAAAATTAAACCACGAATGATATCAGAAATTAAATTAAAAGCAAAGGGTAGGGGAAAAGCAGAGAAAAAAAAAACCTGCAGATATAAGCCAAACCCTTTACATTTATTGTGAGGATATGAGATTGCAGAACACAAGCTGGATGGAATTAATCAAGTTGGTTGGGTTCGTTTTAAGACCGATAATTAGAAATGAGACCTCGTTTAATTAAGCCCCCCCCATCCACTGCCACAATTAGCACTTTTTTTTTTTTTTTGGAGGGAGTGGGTACCTGCCCCCCCCCCCCCCCCCCACAGTCTTCTGGGACATGTCACAGGTCTCAGAAGACTGCCAGACCATTCAGGAGGCACAGCAAAACTGTGAAGCCGCAAACTGTCACAGCCAGGTGCCCACAGTTGGAATGCCAGCGCCAGGTGGAGAAGAGGGATAGAAGGGACGGCAAAGGTGAGAGCATCGCTGAATCCTGGGACAGGTTATTGTGTGTTTATTAAAAGTCAGCACCTACAATTTTTTTGGCTGCTGACTTTTAATAAGCACAAAAACGACTGGAACTTTGCTTTAATAACCTACACTTCTGTCACAAGACAATCTCCAACACAAAGAAATTTGCATTATCTAGAAATAGAAATCTGATTTCTTAACTCATGCTTGTCAAAGGATGGCCAATAAATATACACTGGAAACCTTTATAATGCAAAATGGGAGAAAAAAAAAAATAATCAACTGTTTACTGCAGGAGTTAGGCACCTTACAGATAGGCAAGTGGCTATTCTGCAATGTTTATTTTTTTCTTTACAGATTACGCAAAATCCAATTAAAAACAACCCATTGGCAATCATGCATTCTGGACCATTAGTGATGTCAGTGACCCTTGGAGAAAAAAAAAAAAAAAAAAATATAAAAACAAAATCCCCCCACCAAAAAAAAAAAAAAAGGTTCACTCTGTTTAGCTTTGCTCCCCCAAAAGAAAGTAATAGCACATTTACTGGCAAAAATTCCATAGTATACAAAGTAAGCCTGCAAATTGTAACCACTTTTCTTCCACATTAAATGAGATACCTTTCTGGCTTACAAGTAATACAAGACACCCTTCTGGCTACTTTATAAGCCCAAACACAAACTTTTTAGTAGCCTGAAAACCATATGTGCAAATCATGTAGGCCTAAGTATTTGTTTTACAGTGCAGCCAGTCTTGTGATCCAGATGTTCCCTTCAAACAGCTTACTTTGTCCTGTATTCCCAATCACAACCCTAATTAAATTCTCTATATAAAATAGTCTATCAAACGCCTAATGTCACCTGGACAGGAAACTACAAATTTCACAGGCTAACCTTTCCCGTACCAATTACATATTGCAGTACATTCTATAGGAGTGGTTCTCAAACTTAGTGAGACCAGGGCCCAGTAAATTTATTCAAAATGTTCAATGCCCCAACATGTGTGTAACTGACCTTTGCCAATCGCATTCTAATTGTCAGCATCTGCAAACCAATAGTGCCCAACGCCCAAACCAATTACACGATTCAGTAAAGGTGTCTGGGTACAGTTCCCGAGATGTACTATGTACATTGAGGGTAACCAATCTGGAAAATATTAGTGAGCCAGGAGGCAATAGTCAGTCAGACCTTGACAGATGTGTCATTCACAGATCAGGAAAGGGGGGGGGGGGGGGGGGGGGGGGTCGAATGAAGATGTAGAAAAATCTCACAGAAGAGGTCCATCACCCAAGGACACTGGGAAAAATAAATAAAAAAAACCCAGAAGCCTCACAGAGCAGGCAAGATTATATGGATACACAAGCAGGTGTTTCCGGCAAAGCTTTGCCAGTGACCCATCACCTGTGAAGGTAGCAGCATACAACCTTTGGTCTATAAGTATATACATGTCCTGTACAATTAAGATAAGTAATTTTAAACTGAAAATCAAGGAAAGAAGAGATTACTTGGGCAGTTCTGAGCCTGGCAGACAGTAAAGTAGTCAAGATGAAGGAAATGTGTGGCTTCAGAAGAAGAGAATAGGAGCTCAGGAGGAGAATGCGAGTGAATATCCCAAGGAGACATCTGTGGACACACACACACAAATCCCAGCAGTAGACTGCAAACTTTCCTACACATTTGCAGGGCAGAGTTGTGCCGATTAGCTTTCCCCCCTTCCTAGCTGTCAGATAGGACTCCTGCCTGCAGCTGGGGCTCCACTGCAGTGTCACAAGCTCAGGCTTGCACAGGCAGACATCAGCTAGTTGACACAGAACACCAAGATCTACACTGTTCCACACTCCTGGAATGAAGGTAAAGCAACATGGCTCCATCTGTACTACCAGAGAGGTCGAATCCTCGTGCACACCATTTTGCTGGCACTCCGGGCTTCCAAGACCTGGCAGTTTTGATCTTCATTCCAAGGAAGTGGCTAGAGTGCACGACAGCACACTCCTGCCAGGCTGCAACTTCATGTCAGCTCCAGCAACTGCTGGAACAAAAATTGGAACGGTAGTCTGGCAGGGAGAACCCAAGGCCCAGTGGTTGACAATTGCTGTTGTATGGCACTGGACTAACTTAAAGCAAAAAAAAAAAAAAGAAAAAAAAAGTGCTTTGCCCATGTAAGACAAACCAAAAATGTTAATTGCCCCGCCACTGGAAGATGGAACAAGCACTTGTAACTGGCTCAACTATGCCACATAGTTACCGGACAAAGTTGGGGAAGCAGGTTAGATTTTTCTAATTGAAGCTCACATGGGGGGGCTGTCTGCTCATCCTCATGTGACAGCACTGGCCTAATTTGTCATCAGCCTTAACTAAGCTCTGACTTAAAGGGCAAGTTCACCTTTGGGGGGGAATGCACACGTTTTTAAAGAAAAAAAAATTATGCGCATTTTTATTTTTTCCTGAAGAGCTGGCAAGGCATTGCACCTGTGATCGGTGGATCAAAAGAGCAATGTCAGGCTCCTGCAGCTTTCTTACCCATACCTCTGTGCAGGCTGTTATTACACTGGAGGAAGTGTCAAACTGATGAGTGCCCTTGTATTTCTGAGAACTACAAGCCATAATGGCAGATGGGACTTGCAGTTTATTCAAAGATTGTTGTCAATGAATGTTGCTGTGCAGGCAGACCCCTGCACAGCCATGCTGTTTTTAAATTGTGACAGTGGGTGCAGGGGAGAAGAACCCCCACCTGCTGTCATAGTGAGAGAGATCTGCAGTTTGGGGGGGGGGGGGGGTGCTACACGGGTGTCACAAGTAACATACTCCAAAGGTGAACTTGGCTTTTAAAGTCGAAACTATTCCCGTCGATTTTACAGTTTCCCAAAAGAGATACATTCAAGAAATGCTGTGACTGAAACCCGTCACGGTTTCTAGGTTAGCTCTCTATTGAACTGTCAAGCCATCAAATGCCCGGTATCATAGCTGATCACGTGTCAACTGAAGATAAAGCAGAGGCAAAGATGTCAGCTTCCTTGGCTGTAAAAGGATAGGAGTGTGTTCTTCCACCTTAAAATGAGACTTGAGCCCATACATATGACTACACTGGACCCAAACTCGACAGCTTTCCCTACAGCTTTAACAGCTTCCCGACCGCCCTACAGCAGAACTAGAGGGCGGCAGGGATGCTCAAAATCAAGTATAAATGTTTGATTTTGTATCTCTGGGTAGGGAGCGCACGCGCCGCCATTGGCAGCTACAGCTGTTGATCACTGGGTTCCGGCCAAAGATTTCCCGCTGGCACCTGGTGATCGCTGAGGAACACTGACAGGGGAGATTTGTATGTAAACAATACAGATCTCTTCCTTGTCAGCACCAGCATGCTGCTTTGTATTGCTCTGCATAGCAGAGTAATACAAAGCAGCATGCTTACACAGTAAAACAGCACACACAGTTAACCCTTTGATCGCCCCAGATGTTAATCCCTTCCTGCCCAGTGTCAGTGCTTTTTATTAGCACTTATCACTGTATTAGTGTCATTGGGATGTCAGTAGCAGTTAGTTCCCCCCAGTGTCAGAATGCCAATCGCAGTACCACCATAAGTTGCTGATCGCCACCATTACTAGTTGAAAAAAAATATATAAATAAATTCCAGTATATATACCGCCATTTGCAGATGCTATAAAATTTTCAAACAAACAAATTAATTTTTTTTTTTTAGCAAAGCCGTGTAACAGAATACATTTTGGCCTAAACTTATTACAAAATTTGCAAAAAGTCAAAAATATTTTTTTTTGTTAAATTGTCGGTCTTTTTTGTTTATAGCACAAAAAATAAACAAAGGCGATCAAATACAACTGAAAGAAAGCTCCATTTGTGGGAGGGGGGAGAAGGACATTTCATTTGGGTTCAGCATTGCATGACCGCGCAATGGTCAGTTAAAGTAATGCAACGCTGTATTGCAAAAAATGGCCTGGTAAGGAAGGGGGGTAAATCCTCTGGAGGGCAAGTGGTTAAGTGTACTGGTGAGGATAGAAATGGGGATTGCCATTATTGATTTTTAATGGTGCTGTCTGCATGATGCTCATTCTTACCTGCCAAACTTTAGGGGGAAAAAACAAAACCAAAAAAAATGACCCCTGCAATGAGACCTCACCCTGCACTGCAAGAGTTAATTGATTGTTATGTCTAGAGATAGATGATTTGAGTACATACAGGGTATTGTCCCTGTATGGTACATGACCCTGAGGCTCCGCCCACAGACCACAGCTTCGGGTGGAAGAGAGCGCCAGAGCAAAGAATTAGGCAAGTGAAAAGCCTCTTCATCACTCCTCTAGATCTAACTAGTAACTGACTTGCAGTTTGGGTGATATGCCACTGCAAGGGTGCATTTTTTTATTTTTTTCCGTTATTTTCCTGGAAGTTGGCTTTACACTAGCCTAGCAATGACCTGAAATCAGAATCCAGTATTGGATCTTAAACTCTTTATATTTCACTGCCTGTATGCCTGTTGCAGGTTAGAGACTCGCCAGGGTATAGACCCAGAAGATCTACACAATGATGCCTTATGCTTACATCTTTACAGACTTGCTCCAAAGCAAAACAAACTGAAGTGTACAAAAAAATAACAGATCCACCATCTTCTCATCCATTTCTATCAGGTTTTTTTTTGTTTACAGTGAAGCTGGGGGCTGCAGTTCTTTATACTCGGACAGCTAAATTTCACGCACCCTGGGGGGGGGGGAGCCTCTTTCACAGGCATTTGACTTTTTCAGCCTGTAAAAGCACCTCTATGTTAGCCTATGTGTACATGCACACATGGGAGTTTACAGATGTATTAGTATGTGAGCGTTTACAGGCTGGGAAAAAAACACAAACAAACAAACAAAAAAAAAAAAAAACCCAGCATGTTCAGGAAAAAAAAAAAAAAAAAAGCTAGCCATGCCTAGATGCATTGTAAATGGTAGGTACATTTAGGGGTTTGAGCATTAATGCATTCCAATGGCTAAAGTAAATATTCTGGTCAATGGAATCCATTAATACGCAAATGCTTAACGCCCCTAAACTCATGTGATATACGTGGCTTTAGGTGCATTTTTTAAGCAGCATTTTTCTTGCCAGGAATTCTGGTGTTCAGAGGAAAAAAAAACAAACACCGTGTGTGCATGAGGCTTACTGAGCTGTCTCAGTGCACAGAGACCCATCAAGGAAGAGGTTTTCCTTTGAGTTTGTTTTGACCAAGGGCTATACACATAGCAGGTTATTCCTTGTACAAAGAACTGCTGTTTCCCAGCAAAAGGACAGACAAATCCAGTTACAGCATATGATTATATGATTTCTGGCTCCCAAAAACTGGATGGCTTCTAGGTTACACTGCCTTCATTGGTTTTCCTTTGCTCTAGAAAAAAATTGCTGTGCAATGTATACAACAATGTCCTTGAAAAGAATAGATGAGTAAACCCCTATAACAACCAGACTTTAAGGTTGGTCAGGTTACAGAAAAACATCCAAAAGGAAGCAATTTCAGATAATTAAATCAATCCAAGCTAATGTTCTGCAATATGTGTTTTAGCAAATTAAAATAAAGAATAGAAAAAAGTTTCATTGAAAAAGCTCCACCAGAAACTTAGAACTTGTATTTGGCAAAGAAATCCAAATTCTTTTACATGGTTGTGATGTGCTCACTATAATTACAAACACACAGTTCTGGACTGCTCTGTTGTATACTAGTACTGTTTGTCTGGAATACAAGAGGCAGTCATGAAAGCCCAATTTTTTTAATTAAAAAATACGCTCATGACATTTATATATAAAAAAAAAAAAGAGGAAGCAAGACTGGTATACAAAACACTCTTCAAAGCTCCAGACCTGCTGGAGGTCACACTGCACATTACAGAAAAAAAAAAAAAAACGGATTTATAGAGCCACTGTGAAAAAATATTGTAGCTGCCATTCCCAATTCATGTACAGGTTTTTGGGCTGTTATCCATAGCCTTGCTTCTCTACCGGACAAGCCCTGGATCAAGTAAGTAGCATAAGAGTTCAGGCTTCACACTGAATCCAGATCGGTGACTCACTACACAGTTAAATCAGGACTAGGACAACTGTCCAAAACTTGCAATTTTGCAAACCATGTTAGCAAAGACAGCTACAATATTTCTCTATATAGGTGGCTCTAAATATTAAAGCTACTGTTGTGAGAAAAATAAAAACCTGTGAAAGAGGTACACTATACATGCCGCACAGCCTGGACCTTGAATCTTCACACTCTTGAAGACCTAAGCTGCCTAAAGAATCTTCAGCATTCTACAAACTTTAAGAGTGTTGGGTGCCTGGTTCTACCTGCTTGATGTGGTGTCAATACAGGATACAGTTGTGATGTAGCAGCTGGTGGGTAAAGCCACAGAGAGCAGTAAGGGACCAAGCATCCACCACTCCAAAACTCCTGGAAGGGTGTCAGATGCTGAACATTCTTCAGCCAGCTAAGCATTCAAAAGATTGAAGATTCAAAACCACAGGTGGCAGAAAAGTATTACACTACTCTTACAGGGTTTTTTGATCTTTGCAACACAACTGCTTTTTTTTTAAAAGAGGAAACCTCCACCCAATACAAAAGCTTACGATTCTGGTGGAAAGCTTTATTAAACAGATATAAACTAGTATAGAAGAATAAAAAAAAAAAAAAAAAAAAAAAAAAGGAACTGTTAAATAAAAGGGAAAACCCAAACAGGCTAAAAAGGAAAGAAATTGAAATATATAAAAAGAAACCAACGATTAATCAGAGGAATGATGAAGTGTCCTGGTACCCCGTGTGTCTCTCCCACGTGGCTCAGGAATGGCCAGCCGGTACCCTTCCACTTATTTTGGATTTGGTTTTGTCGTGTGTTTTTTGGAGGGTGAGATGGGAAGTGGTGAACGGTGAGGAGGGTGGGTGAGAGATGGGGTTGCCTTAATTTCACTTTTCAGTTGCTTTTAAGAGTCAGTTTTGCTAAAAGTTCAATGATGCAGGAACTGTGTTTTTTTTTTTTTTCAATAGCCAAGACCCATAAAAGTTGCAGAGAGGGTCAGCAAATAAGCGGCGTGACACAAACCTCAGGTCTGCAGGATGGATGAACAGTGCAACAAATCTTTACTCCAGAAACACATACTGAGTCCTTTATACAGTTCTGGGTGTAATGTTAATTTTTCTTGCTTTGCGCTTATGATTTCTGTGGTAAACTTGAGACCTAGGTCATGCACTCTTTGAAGAGATCGAAAAAACTGTTGGGTTAAAGTCTTTAATAATGTCCACTTTGGGGTTTTATTTTTTTCATAAACCGTTTAATAATCTTTGCAGCAATATGGGGAGCCCCACATCTTCTGTAATCTGTACGTTTTATGGATGCAGCAAATTTATCAGCTGAACATAAATCCTTCATACAAGTTATGATTAGTAACAGTCATTTTAGGAAACAATGTTATCTTCAGAAACAAACCACCACCAATGTTTTTGCCATCTCTCAGTTCCAAGCTCTGAAGGGGTGCAGACCAGTCCTTTTGTCAACCAACTCCGTAACAGCTTAAATAATTCTGAATATACACATACTTCATAAAGAAAGTCTTTTTTTTTTTTTTTCCAAAGAAAAGTCTTTGTGCTTGATGAGATAATGTGCCACTGAGTTCCATGTTGTTGGAAGTACTGCAGATAGGTAGCTCACCCAGCCCTCCTTTCTTTACACTCATAGTAGCGTCTGTTCGGCACCCTCTGGGCTGCCCGGGTAAAGCTGGGCTCTGACTGGATATTGCTGTGCCTGGAAGTCCAGTAGGGTTTTGGTGGAAGCGCTGGGGCGATGGGACAGGTGTCTTTACGAAGGAAGGAACGGCACACACACTTATACAGGCTTCGCTGGTGGACAAGGGAGGTGGGAGAGAGCAGGGAGCACCTTTAAACACCATCTCCCCCCTCCCTGTAATAACCCCATATTGTGAGACTTTTTAAGATTCCCACCCCCACAATGAAAAGTAGCATGTAACTATTAGCCTGATCACCTGAATTTAAGGTGATTACAAGGCTTATGCTTAGGATGACTGAGGGCCTATTTAAATGTTTAATGTGTTATCTATACAAACTCCCCAAAATGAAGAGGTGTCAGCTTCCCCCCATATCTCACAATGAATATGTTTCATGTCTTGGGCCTCACACCCCATTTATACATTATAGGATATTTTTAAATTGCTCAGGGAAGTCAAGCTATGGAAAAGTTACCGTGTCAGAGACATCATGGGTAAATGAATGGCTATAAATTGGAAAGGAATGGGGTGAGAGACCCCACACATGTGCTCCCATTATGATCTTTATATATCTCAGTGTTAGGCCCCTGAAAGTCTGGCTGTGGTGCAAATGAACTCTTACCTCTTTCTTCTCATCTGTCTCGCCACTCTCCTCCTGATTTTGAGATTTTGCAGTTTCTTGGACCTCACCCTCAGCTTGATTTTCTACTACATCCATTATAGTATCCTCTCTCTCGGTTGCACTGCAAAATAGAGTTAACGGTTATCAAGAAACATACAGGGTCATCACAAGTGCATACTACTAAGCTTAAAACAGCTCCCACTCCCCTTCTAACACCTATTTAACTACCCTGTAGAAGGAAGATGTTTATGCTCAGAACGCTTTGGTCCGCATATGTGATCAGGTGCCATGCTTCAGGGGAGAGGAAGGACAGCCAGCAACAGAAGCCCCATAGAAAGCCTATGGGTGACAACACTGCCCAGGTGTTCCATCTGTTGCGGGCGCTCTCTCCTTTTCCCAGAAGCTGGGCACTGGGGAAATCATGTGACTGAACTGGAGCACCCTGAGAATAGGCAAGTATAAACATCTTTCTTCTATATGGTAGCGGGGTGGTAGCAGTTTTAGGTTTAGTTAGAGCCTGGAATTCCACTTAAATATTCAAGGAGTCCAAGGGTAACAATCACATGCATCTGGACATTGCACAAAACTAACATTTTTAGGTTACCATCAGCTCTCTTTGGATCTATAGATAAAATACGAGCAATTTCAAAGAGAAATTGCTGGTATTATTTAAAGAGAATTCATTCAAACGGAACCACAGGAAGTAAACCAGTATTAGGGCCAGTTCACACCACCAAACTGCACTCCGGAGGCATTTTTGCTTACAGTTCAAACACGCTGTTCTGGTGCCTTTTTTTATGCATTTTGCCGTGTTCCAGTACAGTTCTGTGCAGAAAAAAAAGCAGCATGCACTACTTTTTTTTTCTGCATCAGAACGCACTGGAACTGACTGCACTGATGTGAACTAAGGCCATTGGAATAGATGAAAAACACAGTGCATGCATTTTTGATGCAGAAAAAAAAAAAAGAAAAAAAGCTGGACGACATCTGTGGTGAACAGCACAGTGGCTAAATGGTTAGCACTTCCTCCTGGCAGTACTAGGGTCGTTGGTTCAAATCCCAGCCACGGCACCACCTGCCTGGAGTTTGCATGTTCTCCCTGTGCCTGCGTGGGTTTCCTCCCACACTCCAAAGACATGCTGGTAGGTGAATTGGATCCTGTGTTAATTGGCCCTAGTATGTGTAGGTATGAATGTGAGTTAGGGACCTTAGATTGTACGCCCCTTGAGGGTTAGGGACTGATGTGAATGTACAATACATATGTAAAGCGCTGCGTAAATTGACAGCTATATAAGCACCTGAAATAAATAATAAACCAGCACTAAAAAATAAAGTGTGTGGTCTGAATCCATTCCTTTTGGAGACATAGACCTTCCCATAACAAACATGCAGATCTGGAAACTGGAAGTTCTTAATCCAGTTTGTGAATCAAAGTAGTGGGCCAGAAAACGAGCATTTCCAGACAGTGAAGTCAGCCTGTAGACTTCCTCTGTACAGGTCACTTCGAAAACAAGTGTGCAGAAAGTAGAGAGCAGGGCCCTGGTGATCCATGAAGCAGGACGGTGCCGGTGCAGTGTGTCAGCACGCACACCCCATGCTGTACGTCCCTCTCCACGTATGAGAACAGGCACCTCCCATCCCACCGAGCACACACAGCATCCAGGCGGCTCCGTACCAGCAGCCATCCCTACCGGCCAACACACACTGCGGCACGTCCACCCCCTCCTCTTCTCTCCCAATCACATGGCCACCCAACAAAGGACACCTCTCCCGCCCCCGCGGCCACCGCTAACCCACCACACCAAGGCTGCTAATGGGAAAAAGGCGACCGAACCTGAACCGAATCCCCTTACCAGTCTTTGTTTTCTGATAACATTTCCCTGGCAGCCGGCTGAAAGGAAAAGGGGAGGGGGGGAGGTGGGCGGAAAGGAGCCTGTGGAGGTCGAATGGAAAGGGAGATGAGGGAGGGGAAGACAGGGGATGAGAAGAAAAGGGGGGCAGAAAAGCAGATATGGAATAATGTGACCGCCTGGACTCTGCTCTCTTCTTCTACGAGCGACGCCAACGGGGGCTCGGCGTCCGGCAAAGGAGCTCTACTCAAACATGCTCTGCGGCCATCTTGGTGATTACCCAGCAGCCCCGCGTATAGCAGGGAGGGAGGCTGCTCCCACAGGAGGGAGGAGGAGGTGGGGGGAGGAGCAGAACTGCTAACTGATCGTGTTACAGACACTGTACACCCGGCCATCGATAAATCCACGCATGCCTGGAAGCATCCTCCCCCACCCAGTGCATGGGACCTTTTCATTTACCTCACCTACACAAAGTTCCTGCCTCATCACTCCATCACTCGTACTACCCATTCCACTAGAACTGCTCTCATACACAGGGAAACTGTGGAAAGGAAAAGCTTTCACTCGAGTTTTGGGAGGGAATGTTTTAGGAATTCGGTTTTTAATTGCACTCCATGTCCCCAGTGTGGAGATTCACTCTTTGTCCTGCAGTCATTGTTGGGAATTCAAACATTTTGAACACCTTGTGGAAGCACAGAAGATGGTAAACTCTTGCAATTGGGACATATTCCAAGATACAATATAAAGCGTATCTATGGTAAAGCAGAACCTTACCCAAAAGGGGCTTTAAGTACTGGTCCCCTGCTCCCCATGAGGAACTGGCTCCTGGGGGGAGGTGGGTACCCGATTTTGACAGGTATCCGCACCCACTTCTGCTGCCCTTGCCCTAGGCCAGTGGTCTCTAAACTGCAGCCTGTGGAGCAGATATGACCCTTTACGTGCCTATATATGGCACCATTTCATCCAGTGAAATCAAAGATGGGGCACCTATCCATCCACAGACACCAATGATGGGTCACCATTCCTCCAACTGATGGAATTGGTCACTACAGTATTCCTCATTAAAACCAATGATGGGGCAATATTTACTTCCACTGATGCCAGAGCACTTTCTACATAAAAAAGTGACAGCAGAAAAAGACAGAGTGGCCCATTGAGACTGCCAGTTCTACTCCCACATAGTCTGGCCCCCTTAAAGCCTAGAGGACATTAAGCTGGCCCCTTGTTTAAAAGGTTTGGAGACCCCTGGCGTAGGTGATCGGAAGCAGAAGTTAACCTGCCCACCGTACTGTTCTGGGACACGTGACAGGTCCCAGAAGACTAAGGGACCATTCACAAGGGGTAGCTACTCATGCATGCGCAGTGGGCACCTGGCTGTGAAGCCACAAGCGGTCACAGCCAGGTACCCATTCGTAAAGGGATAGTAAATCGCGATATATATATATATAAAAACCCTGCAAGATAAATCACATAATAGCACATTATGTGATACTTACCTTGAAGTCCTCCAGCTGCGCACTGTCACCGCTGACGTCACTCCCGCGCATATCGCTTTTTACGGCCCAGGCATGCTGTTCCTTCAGAGCGCATGCAGCAGTGCTCTACACAGGTAAATATTTCCTAAACAATGCACGTTCAAGAGATATTTTTAAAAGGAGCTTCAGTTTTTGTAGCTGCTGACTTTTTTTAAGCTCTGACTTGAACTCCGTTATAAGTTCTCCTTCTTCCCCTCCCATGTTCCTAGTTCTGACAGGTTCTCACTTCTGCGCCGTTCTCTAGGTGATCCAAGCAGTGTTCCCCCCCACAGTCTTCTGAGACATGTCACAGAAGACTGCAGGACCATTCCCAAAGCACAGCACAGCTCAAGAATGGAACTGGGTGCCCACAGGATGCCAGCACCAGGATCTCGAAGGTTAGTGATGAACTAGCCAAGGTGAGAATGGCACTGGGCCCCTGGACTTGTAGCTGTCCTTTCAGTAAAAGTCAGCAGCTACAGGAGTTGTACCTGATGATAGATAGAGATTATATATATATATATATATATATATTATATATATATATATATATATATATAAAACATTTTTTTCTACCAGAGTAATGAACCGCTTTAAAATGCCAAATCATACATTCATTTCTAGGCTAATTGCATTATTCTGAACTTTTTTGCAGTTTGTAAACTTACTTTGTTAAGATCCCACACATTTACTTCCTTGAATTTTGTGACACATATTCACTGTGCCCTGTGAGTAGGCACCAATGTGTCACACATTTCACAGGGCCTGCCTTCTGATCTACAGAGGTGCTGAGAGGAGATTCAGGAGGTGGAGTCAGTACAGGAATCACTGCTTGCAGGCAGCAAAGAGCTATGAGATATGTAGTCCAGCCTTTCTCAACCAAGCTGCCCAGGCTTCTTCAGGGGTGCCTTGACAAAATGCCCAAAAATTGTATACAAGGCAGCAGGTGGATCAATCCTGCCATTTAGTACACAAAACCACATTTTTTTCATGGTGCACTTTTATGACCTTCTAGATGCCAGCATTTTAACAACCAATGACATCATCAAATGATAAGGAGGACGTGAGCTGCATGCACACCATCCTTGTTTGCCCCTCTCTGTCAGCACTGGAGTCACAGCAGACTTGCACCCTGTTTACTTCGGTGCGATTTGAATGCCCTGTGACTTGCAAATCGCATGCCAAGTCATGCCCTATTGTCCGCAATTGGAGCTGTCATAGTTCTGACTTGGTCGGAGCCACACCGATCTTAAAAGTAGTACATGAACTACTTTTGGTGTGATTTGCATAGACATCTGTATCAGATGTCTTGCAAATCGCACCTGAAATTGGTGGGCCCCCCAACTTTGAAATCGTGCGCCTTACTGTGAAGTCGCACAATTTCAAATTGAGGCTTGATGTGAACGGGGCTTAGGGAAAGAAACAGAGAGACACACTGGAATAGTAGTCGGTACCAGTATGCAAAAATGTATTCGCTTTGGAAGAATAAATTGCCTAGAAGTTGGATGTACTAGATAGATGTAGAATAGTTTTTTTACACTTTAGAACGGGGTGCCTTGAGATTGTGCAGAATTTTAAAGGGTGCCTTGACTGAAAAAAAGGTTGAGAAACACTGATGTAATCCTTAGAAATCGAAAATAAAGAGTAGAGGAGAAGCTGCAAGGCATGTAGGGAATTCAGGAAGTTGTGCAAAGAGATGCCCAAAAGACAGGCAGCATTTACAACATGAAAGATGTTTTGCAGTAAACATATTGGATTATCATTAACAACTATTGTTTATTATTACAACACTAATGTTATGAAATGAAAGGATATGCTATATCTATAGATCTCCATAACCTTATTTTGGATAGATGTCCTCTTAAGAAAGTAACGGCAGCATACATGCGGTAGACCAATAAATGGCTACAAGGGTGGGAAGCTTATGCAAAATCTTATAAAGAAATAAAAGTGTGGAAACTACTGCCTTTCCACCAAAGTCAGCTGTAGTGAGGACTACTGAGCCCATCAGGAGGGCTGAAGGAATGTACCGTAAAAGGACTGGTTTGGCTATCCTGACTATTGTGTCATTTGACATCTCTGCAGTACCCACGATGTTCAAATGCTGCTGGTCGAATGTGCAGCAATTCCTTCCAGTGGCTGCAGCCCAGCCATATTATAAATTATCCTAAATTTACTTTAGGAATCAAAAAAAGGCATTTGTGCGCTGGTGCCTTCCACCCTTGTTGGTTTCTAAGAAACTAAGTAGAGTTGTTCTGGCTATCTAAATGACAGCTGTTTGCAAGTGTGCCATCTTAGATCTGGATGTATTGAGGTGATACTTACCCTAAGGCTTGCCAAAGCAATCCTACTATGGGATAGGCAAATAAACACCCATAGGCTCTTGAAGCAACGATAACAGAAGAGCTGTGAACTGCCTAAAGATCTAGACCCTACCCGAGGGTTCTTAATACCAGAAACTGGCTTAAGACGAGGCCTAATGTCCACCGGTACAGAAACAATTGAGCACCATCTGTGATACCGTTCCCATCTTCACCAACATCCAAATCCCAAGGGCACACCCTGAAAACCTGAACGTCTGTGCAAAAAAAAAAAAAGGCACCATGAACAGCACCCAACTGTTCCTGTTGCAAGTGCATGAATACAGCTACAATCACCTGATAGAACATAGAGAAAGTGGGAATAAAAGCCTAGGTTTCAGCCATGCAGATCTGAGAAGCAATCGTCTGCACCCAAATCTCAGGAAGCACTCAAATTTAGTAAAGTGCTACTGTCAAGAACAGGGGATCTGTTGAGACAAGTCAACATGGTGGAACTAGAAATTGGAGCAACAGTACAGGGACCATCTTGAAAAACAAGTAGAGACTGAGCAATAGACTCTCCCTCCTGACCACATCCAACCAAAAGAAGAAAACTTGCTTTGGCTGAACTGGAGAAAGACTGAAGAACTGGATAAGGATGTCCTGTTTGGGGGGGAAAGATAGCAACTACCCTAAGCAAGATGACTGGATCTCAACAACCTTGTCTGCATGAAGGGTTCCATGGCAGAAACGGACACAAGTCCAAAAACTCACCTCACTAATCAAAGGCTACGAGTGAACTACTTCCAATCCTACAGGTTCACAAGGGCAGTAACATTGAGAGCCCTAACAGTGCTGTCAGCCAAACACCAACCTAGGCCCAGCTGTAGAAGGGGACTTGTCCCACGAAAAAAAAAATTCCTGGGGAGAAAGTCTTGAGGCTTACACCATGATAAGCTTGCATTGCATATCGAGCAATAGATTTAACAAGAAGCAGATCTCCCAGCATAGCAGGACGATTCCATGATGCTCTGTTTCTGGAGCTTTAAATATAATGCTGCGAAAGGAAGCTCGAAGCTGCATGTTAAAAAACATTCCATGGGAACAGATGTTCTTGATCCAGTAGATCCCTTTGAGCAACTGTCAGGCATATCTTTAGGTTGGAACTTTAGTCAGAAAACTACTGTAAGTCCTGCTAGATCACTTTGTGCAGGCCCGTTTTGCAGGTTCAATCACTACTTCGGCCAGAAAATTGTTGCAATTACAAATGTTTAGGCATTAGTTTATTTTTTAGTGGAGAAACAAAAACCCAAATCTGACACATTCCATGCAAAACCCCAAAAATGGACAGGACAAAATTATTGGTGCCCTCAATTTAATATTTGGTATAACACCCAACTGAAATCAATTGCTTCCTGTAACCATCAATGAGTTCCTTACACCTTTCTACTGGAATTTTGGACCACT